TTAGATCTTACTCACCAGCCTGTTGAACCATTGTTTTTTTTTTGAATCATTATTTTTGCAGATACATAGATACCATGTAAAATGTTCCTGTATCCTTTTTAACTGTCATGGCTTGCTGAATCAAAGCAGCTGAATTTGATACAAGATCAATGCTCTTTCCTTCAAAAATGAATTCACCTTCCAGGGTTTGAAATGCTAAACAAGTAACACCTGTTCTCATCCTAAACCTACCTATGTATTTTTCATCCACTAACTTACAGATTTCAACAAGAGACCTGCTCTCCTGAATAACTACATTGATGGGGAAGTGAACATACATAGTTTGTAGCTGAAGCTCTGTGTGGCATCCATGATCATATTCTATACATGATTACAGATAGTATGAAATGTAGCTACTTCCTTCCTATTTCTGCACCACTTTTCAATGCAAAGCCTCTTTTTTTTATTTCCAAGTAGACTGAATTCTAATTGATTTGATTGAAATCCCTCTGCAAAGGTTCTCTGGGGCCTTTGACAATATCTGTGGGTCACGTCAGGATGGCTGATGGAGATGAGTGGTTAAGCAGAGTCTTCATTTTCATAACAGATAAGACAAAAATAGGTAAAGAGTTCTTTAGGTGATCAAAAACACACCAAAAAAATAACAAGAATGGAAGGATGGAAAGTAAACTTTAGTACACACACACAATGAAATATAATACAATATTAAAAAATAAATGTTGCATCTGAAAAACCCCTCATTGCATGGATAAACCTGGAGGATATGAGTTGTGAAACTAGTCAATTACAAAAGGACAAGTATTGTATGAGACCACAATCATAAGACATCATGGTAAGGTTTTCACAAACCTCATTTCTTTGTAAAAATAAATAAAATGAACAAATTTGACATCATAAAAATAAAATTTGACCTTCAAAAGTCAGTTTATAAACAAAAGGACAAGTTATTGACTAGGATAGAAATATATTGGCAAGGTTAATATCTATAAAGGGGCTTATATTCAGAACATAAAAAGTAATCTCAAAATTCAATAACAATGGTGATATTTCAACAATAAGATGAATGTGATTAATATCACTGGATTATACATGTAAAATATGGACATAGAAAATGTTTTATTCACTAAATCTACCACAATTTAGAAACAATAAAGCCAACATTCCGAAAAGTGAAAATGAGTAAAACATTTGAGTAATCATTTGACCAAAGGAAATACATGGGTGGTTAATGAGCACATGACAAGATGTTCGATATTAGATATTATTAGTCATAAGGGAAAAATGCACATTAACATCATAACGATATAAGCTACCAATTTGAATGACTAAAATGAAAAAGAATGACCATACCCAGTGTTACTGAGGATGTGGAATAACTAATGTAACTGACATATTTCTGATGTGAATGAAAAAGGGTATAGCCACATTAGAAAACAGTATTTGCACTCCTTTACCAAATGACCTGGAAATTCCAAAGATATTTACTCAAGAGACATGATAATCTATATCCACACAAAATCTTATAAAGGCATGTTCACAGCAGCTTTATTTATAACATAAATTCAATTCAATTCAAATGTCCATTGACACCTAGAGAAGTGTACTAAGTGTACATAGGAGCTTGGCAAAGGACAGAGGCAGTGAAAAAGAGAAAGGTCTTCATGAGATGGATTGATACAGTGCATGCAACAATAGGTTCAAACATAGCAAAGATTGTGACCATGGTTCAGGACCAGACAGGTTCATTCTCTTGTACACAGAGTCCCTGAACCTTGAAGGCTCCTAACAGCAGCAATAATATAGTTGCCCGATTTAGTGAACATGGAATTAGGTTGTAAATTTTTGTTCTGTAGAGATGTAAATAGTTCCAATTTTCTTAAAACTTATTCCTACAAGATTACACCTTTGGAATCCTAAAAAGATAGTCCCTATAACTTCATAAGACAAATTTAAATAGCAGAGCCCTGCAGAAGCCACTGCTTTGATTGGATGTTTTTAAAATGTACTCAAATGAGACTAACACAAATTTATTTCTTAGAAAAATTGTCTGCAGCCATCCACTGATTTCAGAGACACATTTAAGCATGTTTTGTTTAAAATAATCTTGTGCATGTATGAATTGGAACCCTATATGCAATATTTTCAATTTGCCGCATTTATTATTCTGCAAATGTTCTGTGAACTTGTGTTTACCATCTTCTGATGCCTTCATTAATTAATGATTTAAATAAAATCTTTTGATACATGTTCATTTTCTTTTAGTATAAGAGTTTCCTATAAATTAAGAGTTTTTAATTTATAGGAAATCAACAATGGGAAACTTTATAAGGGAGAGATCAAGTTGTTACTCTCTATTTCCACTACTCAAACTTCTAACGAATAAATCAATATCTTTTCTTTCTTTTATTGTCTTCCTAAGGTCTACAGTTTAAAACCACCAGCTGTTCTGTGGTAGAAAGATGTAGCTTTCTACTGTTAAAAAGAGTTAGTATTGGAAACCCACAGAGGTAGTTATACCATGTCCTATAAATTTGCTGAGGTGGAATCGATTCAATGGCAGTTGAGTTTGGTTTTGATTTTATCTAATGCAAAATGAGGCACATAGAATCACTTAATCAAACCTTTCTAATTTACTTCCATTTACAAAAAAGTATGCAATATAAAAATAAGTTAAATTATACCATAAGAAAGCAAGCAGAGAAATTTTGCTTGTGCTATATACTATAGGACAACTGGTCTCAGTTTTAAACGATGGCATGAAAGGAGGAGGGGAAAAGGCAGCAAGGCAGTAGTGAAGTTGTACTACGAAATTATGAGACTTAAGAGACTGAACAAGGCAATACAATGAGTACAGTTTGCTTGCATATAGATTCAAGCAGACCAAACTTAAGAAAGCATTTTGGGACAAATAAGACAATGTGAATAAGTACTGAGTTTAAGATATCAAAGAATTATTGAGAGTTTGCTGGAATAATGACAGACTTAATATAGGTGTAATAAAGAAAAATGTGCTTTAGATATGTATAGTGGCATACCATAGAATGACAAATATTTGGGAAAATGCGTTTTACTTTCCAAGCCCAAATACATAGACATTTTTGAAGTAGTGTGTTTATACGTATCTTTTTGGAATTAGGCAAGAAAAAAGCATAAGACAAATAATCTGCTGGAGTAGTCAATCAGAATAAAGTATTTTTACTGTAAAGCCTGGGTATCTAAACCTATTGCAGGACTTTGGAAGCATTAGTGGGAAGGAGAAGTCTGAGGGCTAGAGAAGTTTAAGGGGTAGGGCAGCTATTGTGATAATACTGTGGAAGACGGTACTCAAAACAATTGATTTCAGAATGTTGCTAGGGCCACGCAGAATGTAAACTGAAGCCAGCATTCAAGCCAAATCTCTGATTATCAGTATAGTGGTCTTTGTGACTACTTTTAAACATGACAGAGTCTTATAGAAACAGTCTACATTTTTTTCTTTTAAACTTTTGCTTGTAACACTGCTACACGTTTTTCCCATTTTTTAATATTATATTTATATTAGTTTAAGATTTTTTTAGATTATGTAGCCAATTTTACCTTTTTTTTACATGTAGCATTAAGTGACATTGATTACAATCATCACCCTTATCCACTGCCCAAACCAGTAATTTCCCTTCCACCCTCACCTCTTGCCACTAAAGCACTAACAAACACACGGCCATTGAGTCACTGCTGACAGCAATGCCCCAGGTGTAAGGGAGTAGAACGCCTAGTCTTTCTCCCATTGATTGGCTGTCAACCATGCCAATCACAGCCCAACCTGTAACCACCGACACCACCAGGGCTCTTAGGGCTCTTCTAAGTGGAATCGAGCAGTATCTGCCTTTTTGTGAGTGATGTACTTTACATACACAGTGTTTTCATGATTCATCCATGTTATAGCAGGGCTTCATTTCTCTTCATGATGAACAGTTATTTTACATAGTTCGTACCAACATTAAATAATTGATAATATTAAGTTATTGCATTTTTGTGCTGTTTACTTTGATTGCTTCTCGATCTAACAACTGCTCGAAAAAGACAACAAACTTAAACGATAACGCCAACAAAACCCACCTTAACTGAGCATATTCCCTCAAACGAAAGTAAATCACGTTGCCAAGAAGTAATGAGAAATAACTTTCACCCCTGGGTACAATGTAATCAAGAGAAGTAAATGTAAAAGGAAAAGCATAAAGGTAGAAACTACCTGTATGTATAAAAACTATAGTGTCCTTCGGAATGGGAGTGGTAAACTGTCAGGAGGCAGTGGAAAACTGTCTCAAAGGGTGCAGTTGAAGCTCCTGTTTCGGAACACCTGACAGGTAGCTTAGCTGGCCTAGGAATATAGTGACTTGCTCAGAGCTGGTTCGCTGTCAAAGAACCATTTGGCCTTGATCCACGGTTTGCATCATCTGCAATAACATCCATCTTACTTGCCTCACGGTTTGGAAGTGAAAATGATAGGAGGTAGCAGAGTTTGAAAGTTTTGTATTGTTCCAAGTCGTAAAGAAATAAGTTGAACATCCTTTGCAATCAAAGAAAAAGAGAACGGGGGCGGGGGCTGGGGTATGTTTGAGTCCTCTTCATTTTCGGATGCGACCCTTCTAAAGGAAGCGTTGGCACGAGGCAGGGTCAGATCTCCCCGCCCTTCCCACACCGCCTCACGGGCTTCCCACGTCCATCCAGCCACCCACAGAAGGACTGGGAGTAAGACTGAGGGGCCAAGGCGGGGGAGGCGATGGGGAAGGCCGAGGAAGGGTGGCGGGGTGCTCGAGAAAAGGGAGAGAAAACGAAGGAGGCGAGAAACGCAGTACTCCACTTTTGGAACACTTACGGTAGTCAAACTCTGTTCTTCCCAGCGTGTGTTGGTTTCCGTGGCGACGGCGTCGCTCAGGGCGGAGCGTCACTTCGGGTCCAAAGCTCCGCCCCTCCGGCTCAGCGAAAGACGTCGGCACGTCGGCGCAGTGGCTTCCGGCGGAAGGGGAAGCCGGCTTCCCGGCTCCCGGCTGCACTGAAGCCGGCGTGGAGTGGACGCCGAGGGCCGTGGGAAGTCTGGTGAGTGTGTTGCCGAGTGAAGGCGCGGGAGGGAGAAAGCCCCTGAGCGCAGTGCGCCGCTCGTCCGAGCTGCAGGGTTACGCCCTCAGCTGGGGGAAGAGGCCGGCTGCTGCCCGGGCGCCTGGGGGAGTCTTTTCTGCCGCCTGGAGGGCTTTGGGGGCGTCGCCGAGTGGACAGCGAGACCTGAGAGCCTCACCCCGAATGGGTACTTGTGGGCTTCGTCTCTTCCGAGGGAGAGGGAGGGGGAGAGTGAGCAGGACAAATTTCGAGGTAATGCCTTCTAATTGATTTTATTCTTTGGTGTTATCTTTTTAGTTTAAGCTCCTCTAATGAGTGTGTTTAGTAAGGAGTCCTGGCGTAGGGTGTAAGCATTGGGCTGGTAACCGCAAGGTTGGCAGTTCAAAGCCCCAGACGATTCCGCAGGAGACTGAGGCTATCTGGTCCGGTAAAGATTAGCAGTCTCTGAAATCTATGAAGCCTCTTTCTACGTTGCCGCATGGGAATCCACGGGGTGGCAACAAGAAGTGATGTGTGCGGGACTAACCTTCTTGTATGCTGTTGGATGTTTGTTAATTTAATACTATACCGTAAAATGTACTACTTAGATGCTTAATAATATATCTTAAAATGTGTAACCTAAACATGAAATTATTGGAACTATTTGAAAGGAAAAATATGTGCGGCTTCAGATTTGCAGTTAAAATGATGGTTTTTCTGAACTAAATACTGCGGGATTTAGAAAAGCAGTGTGTGCTCAGTTTGTACATAAATGCAAATTAATGAATTATCAATATTTTTATTCAGTTGACCCGAGAAAAGCCAATTTGTTTCATGGATGATGGCATTTGAGCAGATACCCAGAAAGGATTGGTACAGCATTCTAGGCGCAGACCCATTTACGAGTGTGTCAGACCTAAAAGAAAAGTATCAAAAACTCATTTTAATGGTAAGTGTTTTTTCTCTTAGGTATTAAGTCAGGGAGGTTAAAAAATAGCTTGTGAATATGACCCTAACTTTCAACTTCTCCAAAATGTTACCAGTGGCAGGGCTCAGAGTTTGATAGAAAGTTTCTGTAATCATGGAATAAAACAACAAAATGAAGGGAGATTGCATTTGGTTAGGAACAGGGAATCTGACTGAGAATGTGCACACATTTCTTTTCACTGCCTCAGTTGTTTTCATATACGTAACATTCTTTAGAGTATTGTGAGGAGCTTAAATGAAATAATCCATGTGAAATGCTTGGAAGAGTGGCACATATAAGCAGTGTTACCACCCACTTGCCACTAGCCACATGTGGTCATAACCACTAGCACCACCCCCTAAAGTAAATGTCATTACATCAGTGCCGAATCATAGTGACCCTATAAGACAGGGTAGAACTACCCCTGTGAGTTTCTGAGGCTGTAAAACTTGACAGAAAGCCTAGTTTTTCTCCAGTCGAGTAGCTGGTGATTTCAAACTGCTGACCTTACCGGTGCAGCCCAACGTGTAACCACTACTCCACCAGGGTTCCACACGTACTGTAGAGCACTTGAAATGTGACTAGTCCAAATGGAAGTGTGTGGCAAGTGTAAAATGCACACCAGATTTTGGAGACTTCGTACTAAATGTAAAACAATTTAAATAATGTCTACAGACCCCATGTTGAAATGATAATATTTTGAGTGTACTATTTTGCATGGGATGTACTTAAAGCATATATATATACATATATGTATACTGCATACATAATGTACATGTTGAAAGTTCACTTCTCTTTACTTATTTTGAACATTGCATATGTGGCTTGCATTTATAACTCACATTTTATGTCTTTGGGATAATACTGATTGAGATCACTGTTTTTCAGATGAGTCCTTTTTTTTTTTTTTGACGTTTATCATTAATTTTGAATTACTCATCTAAAGCAAGTAAAAAGTATTATACCTATATTGAATTTCTTTTTTCTGCATGCTTTCGGGTTTACATATACAATCTGAAAAAGAATTGATGCATTTGTCATTCTGAACATTTTCAATTATATGCACTTACTATATATAGACAATTGTATAACCTCCATGTTAGATATAATATGATCTTAATAGAGTTGATTCTTTAATTGAAATTACTTGTAGTAAATGTGTAAAAAGTTCCTAAATTGTTGTATCATTTTTCTCAGCACATTTATTTTTCTGTTACTTTATTAAACCAGTGCTGGAACCTCTGTAAAGGTATCAAGTTAACTCATTCTACAAAAAATAGAAAACTATTGCTTACATAGCATTAGTTTCTCTAGATTATATGAAAGTATGTAAGATTGTGTTGTAATTATTTGTGTTAAATCTGAGATATGAAACATTAGATGTTTCAAATTGAGGAATTGTACTAATATTCTTGCGTTAAGTAATAAGTGTATGTAAATGACCTTACAGTTTCTTCTATCTCAGTGTTCGATAGATTTTTGTCGGGAAATTAAAGTAGGTGTTATTGAAAGTTTTCCTAATAACAGGTCATCAGTTCACTGGGGAATGAGCTTGATGAAGTAGATTGGTTCTAGATTGTGCAGGGCTTTGTAGACTATGTTGATAATTTGTCTTTTACTTAAAAGACAATGGGAAGTCATCAACACATAATATTATAACTCATGCAGCAAAGGGGAGGAAACATTTTACATATACACTAGAAATGTAAGAGTTCTAGTTGCTCTATATATCATGACCAGCATTTGGTACTATTAGTCTATCTCCTTTCAGCATGTGGGGTTTCTTAGTCTTTGCTCTCTGACATTTTGTGCGGGATAATTCTTTGTTGTGTGAAACTGCTCTGTGTACTATAGGATCTTACCTCTACTCACTAGATACCAAGAAAAACTGTTGTTTTCAAGTCAATTCTGACTCAGCGAACCTGAAGGATAGTAGAACCTGTCCCATGCGGTTTCCAAGACTAAATCTTTATGGGAGTGACTGCAGGGGCATTGAATTATTTACGTAATGTGGCACTTCTAGTTAAAGTTTTTATTTTCCACCAAACAGCCTTTTCCTTCATGGATTTGGTTAAGAAGGTGAGGGAAGATGCTGATACCATTCACCTGTACGTAATTGTGAATACAGTTCCCTGGAATGCTATCCTGTTGTGTATTAAAAAACAAAAACCAAGCCTTCAAAAGCTGGAGGAAGGATCTCATTACCATCCAGAGTCAGGAGTGATGCTCTCTTCTGGGCATTGATTCCTGTGCATTAAACCTCCGGATCCAGAAGACAGCTATACATAACATCAAAGGAGCAGTAGCAGCAGTACCAGGAGCCAGATGTAAAACAGAGTTAGTGGACTTCCAGGCCAATGGAACTTCCCAGCCAAGTAAAGCAGATGCTTTTGGGTAGGACGCTGGCTTGTGGAGTAGGATCCCTCTGGGCACCTACATAATTGGGGAAGTTGGGCTTGCTGAACTAAGGAAATCAAGCTAAATGCCTTGGGCTGAGGTTTATTGGATTGGGATGCCTCCAGGCACTTCATTCAGGCAGCTGGGTCTCCTGACCCATGAGCTTGAACTGAATGCCTTCTGGTTGAGTTTTTGCAGAGTGGTATGCCCTTTTGGACATTTATTTACAGACCTGAAGGAACTTGTAACATATCCTGATAAACAACTGTATTTTGAGCATTTCTCACTTGCATTACAGCCAGCCAACTCCATAATAAATCATTTAGTGATGAATTTTATCAGTGATTTTTGTGTAGCCATTGCAGTGAATATTAGAACCTAGAGAGGTAAAATAGAGAATACTAATTATAGTACACAACACATACTGCCACATTTTCTCCTGTGGAGTAGCTGGTGGGTTAGAACCACTGACCTTTTGGTTAGCAGGTGAGGGCTCCTCTAGATGCCAGTAGCAACCAGTGCCCTCTGAGGATCAGAATCACCATGAGAACCATCTCACTGTTCTTTGTACAGAGAAATCTCTTATGGTCATTGTTAGTCATTTATATAATTGGGATTTCAGTTCTTATTTCTGTACATACATTTTCTGTGTATATTTTTTCCTACTCTGGGGCTTTTGTAATGGTGTATTTTTGATTATCAGGAGTTTCATTTTCCTCTAGAAGCTTGATGGTGCACTTTTACCTTAGACCTATAATTTGTGTGTGTGGTCTGAGATGGGTGATTACATTTTTATTTTTCCCTCATGGATATCATTTGTTGAAATGATTTTCCTTTCTGTATCAGAATGTCTTGGCAATGTAAATAAATTTCTGTACCCTATTCTATTGCTATATTTGTGTTTTTGTCAATACCTCTTATAGCTTTATAGTCATTCTCAAAGTCAAGTTATATTTATAACCTTATCCTTCTTCTCAGGTTTATTTTGGATATTGTAAATTGCTTACATTTCCATAGCAGTTTTAGAATTAGTTTGTCAATTTCTACTTAAAAAAAAAATCCTTGAGTTTTAATATATATCTAACTGGTACAATAGACATCTTAACAATGTTGTCTTCTGCCTATGAATGTTATAGCTCTCCATTTACTCAAATTTTATCTCAGCAATATTTAAAATGTTTCAGTGTATAAATTACAAGCACATTTCATTAGGTGTTTGGTGGTATTTAGTTATTTTTCTAAAAATGCTGTCTAACAATCTCTGCCCTTTTTTTGGCATGCCCAGTCCATTTATAGTTAATATAATTAACAATGTTTAGGCTTAAATCAACATTTTTCTTTTTTTTGGTATTCTATCTGCTTTGTTAGTCTTTATCATCTTTTAGGTGGATCAAGTATTTATTAGTCATCTATTTCATCTCCTATTTGAATTTTTAATTATGCCCCATTTATTGATTATTTTAGATACTACAATATGTATCTCTTAAGTTATAATAGTTTACCTTGAAAATAAAATGTGAATACTTCAGTGTGAAGAACCTGTCTTTCCTTCTTTTTGCTTTGGCTTCCATATTTTAACTCCATGTGCTAAAAACTTTACAGTATACTGCTATTTTAAATACTCATACTCAGTATCCTTTTTTAAAAGTAGTGTTTTATTATGTTTCACAGGAGAAGCTCCCACAGCAGGTTAAGTTCCCATTCAGAGGTTTTTACAAAGATGGTTTGGTGGCATTGGTTACATTGTTCACAACTCATGAGCTCAGTTTACATTTCTCGTAATCTAGTTTTGTGCTCCCTTACCTTTTGTCTATGAGAGACAAAGGTTCTCATGTGGCTGTTCTTTAAAGGGAGCACAGGTTCAGTGTTTTAAAAGATTTTTTTGGTGGGCAGGTATATTTGTTTCAGAATAATTTTTTAAGTCCTTTATATTTCCTGCCACTATCCACCTCTCTGATGTTCTTTATTCTTTCCTCTCAAAGGTACCTATTTGGATTTGTTTACCTCTACCTATAGCATTTCTTACCTTCACTTTTGAAAGATATTTTCTACTTTCACTAGAGGATTCTAGTTGTTGGGTTGGTTTTTTTTTGCCTTTTCGCACTTTCTTTCAGCATGTGTCCTGAAACTCCTTTTGTTAGTGTCAAGTGTTTTGGTGCAAATAATGTTATCCTATTTATCAGCAGCATTAAACTTTTATATATTTTTAAACAAGTTGGTCACACTTACCTTTCATAAATATTTTTTAATTGTCTTCCAGGACAATTAAAAGTATTACTCTCATTCACTTCCTACTAAAACTGTCTCTACGAAGTAGCAAGTCAGTATTTCTTGAATGCTACTCTTATATTGTAATTTCCGAGTTCACCATTTTATCTTCATTTTTTTGTGTTAGATATTTAAGACATTTGTTACTATTTTAGAGATACATTCTCTTTCTGAGGTTATTGAAGTTTCTTTAAATTTTCTTTTTCACATTTATTTCTTTTCCCTCTGAGTTTCTCCCACCACCTTCTTGCTCTCTGCCATGGTTATCACTTGTTGATAATTAAGAATAAAATGCTATAAGCTAATGGGGAAGTTAA